AAGTATTGCCAAATTATCTGATCACAAATTGCACACGCAACCAGGAAAGCTAAGTGGATAGCAAACATTAGCAACAGCCCTGACTGATTCTACCATCTGTCATGATCAAGCACCAGACATATGAGGAGTGGTCGATGAACCAAGAATTTGTAAAAGCAATTATATGTATCCTCCTATTAGTTTTTGAGCTTCTCAATTTAAAAAAAACCAAGAGTACAGCTCCAATTTTAAACAAGATAAAATGTAAGTTCATTATACAACTATTGCTGAAAGATATTTATGTAAAACTGATAGTACCTGTATTCTAGCTAATAACTAAGAGTTAAAAATAAGTAAGTATAAAAGTTATGTTTGGGAATGCAAATGAGATTAGTTTTTATTACCATTGCAGGCTTATCTTATTTGAAGCTTCTCTTTCTGAAGCGAAGAGGTTGAAAACATGAAATCGTATTTAGCAGCTACAATGTTTTCTACAGTTGAACAGTTGGAAGTTGCTGAACAGAATGTGTCTGGGGAATGAGTGGAAGCTTGTTTATCTCAATTTACAATGCAAGTTGTAACTCTTTGTGGCCTTGTTTGGTACATCAGTCCTAGAGACAACACCCCCTCCATCTGTATTGAGAAGCAATAGCTGTTTTCAAGAGATAACAAGGTGCAGAGCTGGATGAACACAGCAGGCCAAGCAGCATCAGAGGAGCAGGAAAGCTGATGTTTCGGGCCAAGACCCTGATCCTCTGATGCTGCTTGGCCTGCTGTGTTCATCCAGCTCTGCACCTTCTTATCTCAGATTCCCCAGCATCTGCAGTTCCTACTATCTCTGAAGCTGTTTTTAAGATCTCTCTTTCATGGTGTTAAGATTATACTGTTCAAAATGTTAGTTTCTGGGCAGCTTTATGACAGCGCAACACAATGGTTACAAATGCTAATATTGATGAATCATTGCTTTACAAAGCAAAGTCAATTATGTTGAATCAGAGATAGTAGGAACTGCAGATGCTGGAGAATCCGAGACAACAAGGTGCAGGGCTGGATGAACACAGCAGGCCAAGCAGCATCATAGGAGCAGAGAGGCTGCGATAGGGTTAGGGTTCCTATGATGCTGCTTGGCCTGCTGTGTTCATCCAGCCCTGCACCTTGTTGTCTCAATTATGTTGAAATTCCTTGTGATGTCCCTCCCATCTCCTGTTTGACGTTACAAAGATTTGTGTCTTTACACCTTTTGAAGGTTCAATGGACAATGCAGGAATTGTAAATTATTTAATTTTGTGTTGTGAGTGCCTCTTAAGACAATGCAGTTTTATTGTCTGTCTTTAGTTGAATCTACAAGAGTAGTCATATAGTTTACTGGGGCTACCACTATAAGAGACCTTGTGTCTATTCTAAAGGCAGTAAAGTTTTTTTTTACAAAGCATGTCACACTATAATAGTTGAGATAGCTCCCTAAGGGAAAACTATCTGAACTAAAATATATTGTGAATGCAAACATAAAATAATGCTAGTAACTTGGCATCCTATTTAACACACTGTCAATTGAAAAGGAATCCGATGCTGTAAAGTGAACTGCTAATTCACCATTTCCCATTAAGCACTACTGTCCAAGATTAATTTTTCAACAAAATCAGAAATTACTGGAGAAATTCAGCAGGTCTGACAGCATCTGTGAAGAGAAAACAGAGTTAGCATTTCAAATCCAGTGACCCCTTTACTGCAAAAATGCTGTCAGATCTGTTGAGTTCATCTGGCAATTTCTGTTTTTCTTTCAGAACTTCATCTGAAGTTTTTGAAAATTTTATTGTAGTGAATTATTATTAAGGTGAACATGACATTCTTTAAAACAGAAGAATCCTTTTATTCAATGTTTTCACATTGGAGAACTATGTTTCTGGGGGTGCCATGAGTTAAAAGTGGATTCCAGTCCTCTTTTGTCCTATCTAGCAAATACATGGATTATGCTGATTGAACTTGTTCGAGTTCTTTGACAAAGCCACCTTTCAGTTCTCATCATGTCAGCCAAGTTATCTTCTTTTAACTAATCCTAATTGAATCAAAACTTAGAACAAAATGGACACCAACTGAAATGAAGGACTTAACATTGTACAGACATAATAAATGTTTTGAGGTTGGTTGGCTCGCCGAGCTGGTTTGTTGTTCCGCAGATGTTTCATTACTGTGCTTGGGAACATCCTCTGATGAAGCGTCGGTGTGTTTTCCTGCCTGGGTTTTAAACTCTGGGGTCTGTTGCGATGGATTGCCTCACTTCCAGGTTTCCTCCGTAGTGGAATGTATATGGGATCAAGTTCAATGTGTTTATTAATAGCATGCTTCGTGGAGTGCCACACTTCCAGGAATTCTTGTGCTTGTCTCTGCCTAGCCTGTCCCAGGATCTTGGTGTTGTCCCAGTCGAAGTCGTGGTTCTCCTTGTCTATGTGGATTGAGATGAGTGAGTATTGGTCGCGTCTTTTTGTAGCCAGTTGGTGTTCATGTACTCTTGTTGTTAGTTTCCTTCCTGTTTGTCCGATGTAGTGTTTCTCACAGTCTCTGCAGGGGATCTTGTAGATGACATTGGTCCTGTCCATGGCGGGGAGTGGGTCTTTAGTTCGGGTGAGCACTTGTCGTAGGGTTGATGTGGGCTTGTGTGCCACTCTGATGCCCAGTGGTCGTAGAAGTCTTGTGGTGAGTTCTGACGTGTTCCTGATGTAGGGTAGTGTGATGAGTGTGTCGGGGCCTGTAGAATCTTTCTGATCCTGTTCCTGTAGGCATCTCCTGACCCAGTTCTTTGGATATCCATTATCCTTGAACACTTGGAAGAGGTATTCCTCCTCCTCTTGGCGTAGTTCTATGTTGCTGCAGTGTGTTGTTGCCCTTTTAAATAGTGTTCGCACGCAGCTTCCTTTGTCTGTACTGGGATGGTTACTATTGAAGTTCGATACCTGGTCTGTGTGTGTGACTTTTCGGTGTATTTGCGTTTGCAATTCCCCATTTGTCTTGCGCTCTACCATGACGTCCAAGAATGGGAGTTGTTTGTTCTTTTCCTCCTCTCTGGTGAATTTTATTCCGGTGAGGGTGTTGTTTGTGTGTCTCAAAGACTGGAAAGGACTGCCCTTCCGCAAATCCAACCTAAACTATGGATACGCTACATAGACGACACCTTTGTCATCATTAAACGGACCAAACTAGAAGACACACGCAAACAACACCCTCATCGGAATAAAATTCACCAGAGAGGAGGAGAAGAACAAACAACTCCCATTCCTGGACGTCATGGTAGAGCGCAAGACAAATGGGGAATTGCAAACGCAAGTACACCGAAAAGCCACACACACAGACCTGGTATCGAACTTCAATAGTAACTATCCCAGCACAGACAAAGGAAGCTGCGTGCGAACACTATTTAAAAGGGCAACAACACACTGCAGCAACATAGAACTATGCCAAGAGGAGGAGGAATACCTCTTCCAAGTGTTCAAGGATAATGGATATCCAAAGAACTGGGTCAGGAGATGCCTACAGGAACAGGATCAGAAAGATTCTACAGGCCCCGACACACTCATCACACTACCCTACATCAGGAACACGTCAGAACTCACCACAAGACTTCTACGACCACTGGGCATCAGAGTGGCACACAAGCCCACATCAACCCTACGACAAGTGCTCACCCGAACTAAAGACCCACTCCCCGCCATGGACAGGACCAATGTCATCTACAAGATCCCCTGCAGAGACTGTGAGAAACACTACATCGGACAAACAGGAAGGAAACTAACAACAAGAGTACATGAACACCAACTGGCTACAAAAAGACGCGACCAATACTCACTCATCTCAATCCACATAGACAAGGAGAACCACGACTGGGACAACACCAAGATCCTGGGACAGGCTAGGCAGAGACAAGCACAAGAATTCCTGGAAGTGTGGCACTCCACGAAGCATGCTATTAATAAACACATTGAACTTGATCCCATATACATTCCACTACGGAGGAAACCTGGAAGTGAGGCAATCCATCGCAACAGACCCCAGAGTTTAAAACCCAGGCAGGAAAACACACCGACGCTTCATCAGAGGCTGCACTGAGGATGTTCCCAAGCACGGTAATGAAACGTCTGCGGAACAACAAACCAGCTTGGCGAGCCAAGCAACCTCAACACCCACAACCCGAGCTACAGATCTACTCCAAAACCTTAAATAATAAATGTTTGTTTTATATTCATAAATTCCTTTAAAAATCAGAGCACAAGCTAAAAGAATTCATTTAACATTTTTCTTAATTTTCCAGCATTTGAACTCTGATGTTCAGATACTTTACACAATATATTTGAATGTCACAGCAGCTTCTAATTGAAGAGGTGTGAAGAAATCAGCTAAATACAGTTAGACAATTTGGTTAGGCAGTCACATCTTGAAGTCTTCAGAATAATTTGAAATTGGCCTTTTTAGTAAAATGTTGATTTCACTCTGGTTCTAATTTCAGTTTTGAACTCCCGGGAGGTGAATATTGACACTAAATTACCTCAAAGAATTTCCTCTGACAGCTGGCTGTATTCCTTTTATGAAATCAGCTCACAAATCCTTAAGAATTGACACCATATTGCTTAGTGCAGGAGCCATAAGGGAGAGTGTGGTAGTCTCTATCTCTGCAATACAGCCATACCACCATACAACACCCAATTAAGATCAAATAAGACTTCATGGAAGTACTTTAATATTTGATCTATGAGCCACAGAAACGTTCCAGTACCTCATGAATAGCCTTTTATGTATTAATACTCAAGCTTGAAGACTTGTCCAGAAACATCCAAATCCATTTTCTGCTATTCAAAAGACTTCTGGTGTCTGTGAAGTAGCAAAGTGCTCTTGTGGAACTGTCTCCAGTCAGACCTTTATACATACTTCAAGGACAACAGGAAACTTACTGCACATTAGTGACAAATAACAAATGTCATTTCAATATTCACTGCAAAGTTATCCACCCTTAATATATTTTTACCATATAGGTACAATTACAGAAATGAGCGTCTGTGGAATTTCTGCCAGAATAACTGACAGTAAATCTGAAACTGCCACTCAAAGAAGGACTCACGTTGACTGCATGTGGACAATTTTAAAAATGTTTGTTAGCATATATTTCAGTGCAAAAATATCAATAGATTTAATTAATGAATAATACAGGTAACAGTGAAATAATAAATCTGCACATGTTGACAACTTGTTGTGATATGTTTCTTTTCTTAATTTTTTTATGGGGTGTCAGCATCTCTGGTAAGGTCGGCAATAATTGTCCAACCCTAATTGCTTTGAACTGAATGAACCTGGCTAGATTATTTCAGAGGACAGTGAAAATCAACGGCATTACTGTAGAACTGGAGCCTCATGTAGGCTACACCAGTGCTCCATGACAGATTTCCTTCTGTAAAGGGCATTAGTGAACCAGATAGGTTTCTACAAAACTTTATGGTAGTTTTCTTGTTGAGATAAGATTTATGTTCCAGATTTATTAATCGAATATAAATTCCACCAGCTGCCATGTTGAAATTTGAACTCCTATCTCCAGGAATTTAGCTTCGCTCTTTGGATTAGCCACACAATGACATGATCACTTCACCACTGCTTCTCCCATAACTAAATTATCAGACAGGCAAAGGCTTTGGGGATGGAACAGTGGCTAGCACTACTGCCTCACAGCACCAGGGACCTGGGTTCAATCCCAGCCTTGGGTGACTGTCTGTGTGGAGTTTGCATATTCTCCCCATGTCTGTGTGGGTTTCCTCCCACAGTCCAAAGATGTGCAGGTGAAGTGGATTGGCTATGTGAAATTGCCCATAGTGTAGAGGGTGGGATGGTCTTCAGAGGTTCAGTGTGACTCAGTGGGTTGACAGGCCTGTTTCCACACTGTAGGGATTCTGTGAAACTTCAAAAAGCTCATTCAGAGCTGTGGTCCTGACAAAGATCAGAAGCAATTTTTAATGTGGAATCATATATATACACAGCACAGAAACAGGCCAAATTAGTCTATGCAATTATTTGTGATCCATAGGAGCCTCTAACTATGCTTTTTCATTGGATCTGGCAGTACAGAAGGAGGCCATTTGATCAGTTACTCTGGAACTATCCCTTTGAAGAGCAAGTGTGCTTAGTCCTACATAAGACCAAAAATTTGACTGCACTAGCCATGTAAATACTGTGAATACAAGAGCAGGACAGAAAGTAGGAACACTGCAGAGAGCATCTCCACTCTTGACTCCCAAAATCTGTCAATTAGCTATAAAAGGTACAAGTCAGGAATGTGATGGATTAATGTCTACTTGCCTGGATGTGGGCATATCCAACAACACTCAAGAAGCTTGACATCATCCAGGACAAAGCAGCTGACTTGATTGGCAATCCATCCACAAACATCCACGCCCTTCATCACTAAGGCTCAGTAACTGTAGTACCAAATGCACTGCAGAAATTCACCAGAGTTTGACAGTGTCTTCCAAACCCATGACCACTACCATCTAGAAGAACAAGGGCAGCAGATACATATGAACACCATCATCAGCAAATTCCTCTCTAAGCCATTTACCATCCCAATTTGGAAATAAATCACCATTCAGCATTGCTAGATCAAAATCCTGGAGATCCCTCCCTAACAGCATTGTGTGTCTACTTACACCACATGGACTACAGTGTTTCAAGAATGCAACTCAACCACTACCTTCTCAACAGCAACTAGGGATGAGCAATAAATGCTGTCTTAGCATGGCCACATCTCAGGAATTAAAATAAATAAATAATGCATTGTTTCTAATTTTATAAGCTTCTCATCTTCAATAACTTGTCCATACTCCCTTTAAGATTAGTTACAGAATCAGCTTTCTGCACCTTTTGAGGTACAACATTGAAACATCTCATTGATTAAAAAGCAAATCTCAATTCTCCTCTAGGAGCTAAAATATATCCATGGAGGAGGTCCCGACAATGATCTTGAAAATTGAAGGTGACTTGACCTTAGCCATTTGTAGGGCATCAGCTAGCACCATTTTATGGAGATCAGATAACAAATCAGGGCTATCACCGCTTTAAAAGATTTTGTTTTATTTATTTATTCATTCATTCATTTGTGGAATGTGGACATCGCTGGCTGGCCAGCATTTATTGCCTATACCTAGTTCCCCTTGAGAAGGTGGTGATGAACTGCCTTCTTGAACCATTGCAGTCCACCTGTTGTAAGTTGACCCACAATGCCATTAACGAATTCCTGGCCTTTCAAAGGGTTTGTAGCTCTGCAGTCTCAGCAGGAATGTTATCCACCTGGAACAACACCTGGAAGGATGCTGTGGAACGATGGTGACCTCCCAACTTGTAAAGTGATTTGGGTGGCTCAGCGGCTCAGTGATTGCCACTGCTGCCTCAGTGATGGGGCCCAGATTCAATTCCAGCCCTGGGTGATTGCCTGTGAGAAGTTTGGACATTCTCTCCATGTCTGCCATGGGTTTCCTCCGGATGCTCTGGTTTAGTCCCTCAGTCTGAAAGATATTCAGGCTAGGTGGATTGGCCATGCTAAATTGCCCATAGGGTCTATGGATGTGCAGTCAAGGTGGATTAACCATGGGAAATGCAGGGTTACAGGTATATGGTGGGGGGTTCAGATGATCTTCAGAGGGTCGGTGTGGACTCGATGGGCCAAATGACATGCTTCCACACTGAGGGTTGAGGTCAATCAGAAGTGGGAGATTGGTGCCATCTGTATTCACCAACATTGTAAGGGGGTTGGCCATTCCAACTGGAGGTTGCTCAAAGCGTGGCTGATTAGGAGGTCCTTCTCATGAGCCTGCAGGAAGTGTGTCAGCATTCACTTGATATTCTCTCCATGTGGCTGAGAGTCCACCTACTACTGATGAAATATCTATAGCAGTTGAAAGAGAGCCTTAATGGCATGAGGGCAGTCTTCCATTTTACCTGCTACTGTCAAAATGGCATCTTGGTTGGTGGGTGATCAACTTTCCAGTTCTAGCCTTCTCTTTCCATCATACGAAGCAAAGAGCGGGATAAGTGGACAATTTTTAGGTTGGCGATATTAAGTTCCAAGAAGGACCAGGAGGCCAAAGCATCGAACAGCAGAAGCCTTATTGAGTCATTCACTCTACAGGCAGCAAGGTTAGAGAGAGCTGTTTGTCCATCCAAAACTGTCAATGATGTCATCACTATGTCACATGATCAGTCTCTTAAAATGATGACAACCACACATACTTAAATACACCAAATCCCTTCCCCTTTACATCAGAGGTTCCTGCACTAAAAACATTCACAATCTTTCAATGGTTTTCGCTGAAGATATTGTCTGTAATGATGGCAACTTCACCACTTAGTATGTGTGTCAACCACTATGAAAAACATTCACTTTTCAAAAGGTCCAGCATATTCAATATGGATTTTTTTCCTGTGGCTTTTGTGGGCATTCCCATTAGTGCAATGGTGTTAATGAAGGAAGTTGTGAACTCTTGCATAAGCTGCACATATTCTTGCTTTCTCCTCAATTTTAGAGTTGAGCGCTTGTCATTAAAAAAAATTTCTGGTTATCCCCTTCATTCTGCCAATGTCACAAAGATCTTCGCGTAGTTGATTTATTACATGTTTTGTCAGTTGTGTATGAACGATACCGTTATTCCCCAGAGGAGACATCCTGCTTTTATGGATAGTTATAGCTTCTGTGATTATATAGCTTCAGATCTGGAGTTGTTTCCGTGATCTTTCCATGAAATGTCATGTCCAACACTTTGGTAGTTCTGGATCATCTCTAGTGTACTTTGACATTTTCCAATCTTACCCGAGTATTCTACATTTGTTCAAAGGAGAACATGTCTGCATTAGTATGTGGTTGTCTTATCTGGAAAAGTCAATCTAGAAAGCCCCAACAACATTCCCATGTAAACTGGATTGCTGATACTTAATTGTATAAATGGGAGCTGATATCACCAATGCCTACCTCTGCAATCAGCCCACTGCTAGAGAAGGTATCCCTGTGTAATGAACAATATTGTGGTCTGTTAGTTATGTAACTTCCTGACTTAATGCCAAAAATTATTCCTAGAACTTCTTTCTCTGCATGTGCATAGTTCATTTCTGCTTTGTTCAATGATCTAGATGCAAAAATTCTTGGCTTCTCTTCATCATTGGGGTGATAAACAACTGTTCCCACTCCATAAAGTGATACCTTGTAAACTAGTTGCGATGGTAACTTTAGTTCAAATGAGTCAGGATTTCTGACTTTCATAAAGCTGCCTTGGCTTTTGTAATAGAGATAGTAGGAACTGCTGATGCTGGAGAATCTGAGATAAGAAGGTGTAGAGCTGGATGAACACAGCAGGCCAAGCAGCATCAGAGGAGAAGGAAAGCTGACATTTCAGGACCCAAAACGTCAGTTTTCCTTCACCTCTGATGCTGCTTGGTCTGCTGTGTTCATCAAGCTCAACACCTTGTTATCTTTGGCTTTTGTAAAGAGCTTTTCATATTGATATTTCCATTTCCAATTCTTGCTTTGGCATAATAAATTGTGCAATGGCTTAAGAATGGTTGCAAGATTTGGTTCAAACCTACCATAGTAATTTAGCAAGCCGAAAATTGATCATGTTGGTTCATGTTTTTAGGTGCTAGTGCTTCAGTTATGGCTTTTACTTTTGAAAGTGACTTTTTTGTAGTCCCTGAACATCACTAACATGGCATAAATATTCAATGGAAACTTTTAAAAAAGTCACATGTCTTTCTTCACTTTTAGAAAAATCTTCAAGTCTCTGCAGAGTATTATCTAAATTGTGGAGATGCTTTTTTTGTTTCTCCCCTGTGACTAAAATATCATCTAGGTAACATTGGGCTCCTTCCAATCCATTTAAAATCTGATCCATGACACATTGGAATAACAGGTGTAGATATGATTCCAAATGGAAGTCTTTGAATAGTTGCTTATGTCTTACAATTATTAAGTATTTCATTGACTCAGTATCTACATTTATCTGGAGATAGGCTTGACTATGGTCAATTTTACTGAAAAGCTGACCTCCAGCTAGTCCAGCAAAAAAAAAAGCAACTCATTAAAGGCAAAAGTTACTGCTCAGCACACAGTACGAGATCAATAGTGACCTTAAAATCACCACAGATGCATTTTGATCCATCGTTTTTCATCGTTGGTATGAGAAGCATGGG